TTTATCAAATATGAATCTGAAGCAAATGCAATGCCAGTTTTTTTATTGAAGAGGTTGCATTGTACTACTATATATATGAACGGACACGTCTGTCTGTCTGGGTGGAGGTGGGGTGCATACTGTAAATAAATCGGTAAATTTTGGAAATTTCCAAGAAAAAAAAAATAGTTCTGGGCGAAGCCAGGGGATAAGGCCGCCTTCAGTTGAAGATGTCAGGGGAAACTCACTTCACACATATTATAGACTGCGATTTCACTGCAACAGAAGGGGAAAAGGTAATTGAGGGAGAGGGACACAAGCGGCAGCGCGACTAGCAAGCTTGTATTGCCTGCAATTTTTTATCCGGAGCCAGGGATGGATTCGAGTCACAGGCGGCCTCTGCCAATGGTGAGATTTTTCGCCTCGCAATTATCGCAAGAAAAAAGCGGCCGCTCCTCGGCTACAGTCCACCCGTCTGACACGTCTTGCCACAGCTAGGTTCAGACACTATAACCATTTTGCCGTACAAAGTATGCCCGAGCTTCCACGCCGTTCGGGCATTATCCGGATGAGGGGAGCAGCTAAGCATCTATGATGTGGCGTAGACCCACCGCGCCTAGCTCTGGGAGAAGAGGGAGGTGCGGACCTATTCGAAGTTCCGTCTTTTTTGGGTAATACACGTTTTTACTTCATTATTGCTTCCTTAATTTTGTTATCGTTCCTTTTTGCAGGACCTTATCGTTTTACAACTTCCTCTTTCTTCAACACTTTTTCTAGTAACCTGATTCATGATTGTTTACGGCATCTATGATAGCGTGTGCTCAGTAAATATAGTTTGATAAATATGACTACCTCTCTTCGTACAGCCGAATTCTGTGTCTGAATGGATGATAGAGACAATGTGGAGAATGCAGATCGTAGCGACGTCAAAGAAATGGCTCCGTTGCGAGAACCCTCTGGCTTTTGAGTATCGGTCACTTTTGACAGCTGTAACAGTGCCTCAGTTCTGCGCCATATAGTCTGAAAAAATCAGTTTTGCGAAAACGTGATTAAAGAATTTACTATGTCAAGACGCTTGGTCACGGTGTGAGGTTTCGCCAGCAGGACTAGTATTCAGCTGTGCTTAGCCACGTCATGCTATCTAGACGGGAGGGTGTGAGGGTTGTTCTGTGAAAGGCTGTCATGTCCTGACCTTGAATAAGCCATGTTAGGCCGTGTTAAAGACACATGGTACGCTCAACACATTGAGGGTGTATGAGACTATCAGCCCCCCAGCTGTCGATGTGTCGTGGTCCCCCGCCCAAAACTGCACGGGGTCAGAGTACGGGGCCGTGGGAAAGTCGTAATTCCTTGCTACACCGCCCGTTTCGCAAACTCACGTTTATACTAACACCGTCCGCGCGGCGCGGTCGCGTGCAGCTCTCTTGGCTTTT